GGTAACCTCCAAGCTTGGTTGTTTTCTTGCAGACGTTTCATTACTCAACTAGGTAAGATCAGCAGATGAGGTTGATGAGGTTGTCTACCGTAGTCGGGTAATGAAACCTCTGCAAGCAAAGCTCAGAGAGCACCAAGGACCCCACAGTTCATCCCTGGGCTACAAATATTCTCTTCTAGTGGTAGCTCTGATCTAATTATGAAGAGAACATTTGAGCCAAAGTTTCTCCTCGTGCTTCCCAAGAACAACTCTTTGCTCCATGAAAGGAGGTCTATAATGTCCTTGCTATACGGCAGTGGGAGAAACATCCCTGCTAATCAAGACACGGCCCTAAAAAGAGACAGTATTCTCTCTCTCTCTTGCTTGGAAAGGATTTGAATTGGTGCGGCACGATTTGGCCAGCGATAAATCGCCTTGCTGCAACCTAACTTTCCTGCCCTGCTCCCAGTTCCCCTTCGTGAGTGGGTATCTTCCACTCCAGCGTGTGACCTTGATCTAACTTGGATTTCTTTTGTTGTTTTGTTGTCTCTTGTGTCGTTCCTTCGCTCCGCTTTCCTTTTCTGTCCGGGAACACGTCGGATGTCTGATCTCCTGATTTGCCAGTGGTGAAGCAGCGCATGCAGATGTACAATTCTCCGCACAAGACAGTCACGGATTGCATCAGGACCGTGCATCGGACGGAAGGCCTGGGTGCCTTTTACCGTAGCTACACCACCCAGCTCAGCATGAACATCCCTTTCCAAGCCATCCACTTTATCACCTACGAGTTCACGCAAGAGCAACTCAACCCCCAGCGACAATACAACCCTTGCTCGCACATCATTTCGGGGGCCGTGGCGGGAGCAGTGGCGGCCGCTGCTACCACCCCCCTGGACGTTTGCAAGACCTTGCTCAACACTCAGGAGAACGTGGTGTTGAGTTCCGTGAACATTAGCGGGCACCTCTCTGGCATGGCCAACGCCTTTAGAACGGTCTATCAACTGGGAGGGATCCCCGGGTACTTTAAGGGAGTCCGAGCACGTGTGATCTACCAGATGCCTTCAACTGCCATCGCCTGGTCCGTCTATGAATTTTTCAAGTACGTCCTTACCAAACGCCAGTTGAAGAAGGGCGCTCCTTGTTGACGGATCACCCCTAGCAACTGCAGACAAAATATCTGAGGAAGCTGTTGGCCTCTCTCTCTCTCTGTAAACCTCACCAGGTTCTTGATGGCCGTTTGTAAAAGAGAGCTGGTGGATCCCTGACTGGATTATATCTCTCTCTCTGTGTGTGAGCGTGTGTGTTTGTGTGTGCGCGCACACCGCAGTGTGTCTTTTGGAGAGAAGGTGGTTCTCTACCCCTTTCTCCTCCTGCTTTGGCTGAACCAAAATGTTTATTCTTCTAGACGTGTATTTATAGTTTTCGAGGGCGTTGATAAGTGTGATAAGATTTGGACAAGTTTGTACTTATTTTTTCACGGGAATGCTTGGGGGAGGGGCCTAACCTGGGGAGGGTTGTTGGGGTGGTGGTGGTGGGAGACGGATACTTGTGTTTTGGGCAGCTTTTCCGAAAAGCCGATGCCTTTAAACCAGGGGTCTCCAACCTTAGCAACGTTACAGACTTGTGGACTTCAACTCCCAGAATTCCTCAGCCAGCCATGCTGGCTGAGGAATTCTGGGAGTCGAAGTCCACAAGTCGTAAAGTTGCAAAGGTCGGAGACTCCTGCTTTAAACCGAACAGAGTTCTACACAGAGACATTGTGCGATGGATAAAATAGATGGATAATGTTTATCCTTTATTTTTCTATTATTATTATTTTTTTTTAAAGAAAAAAAAATTGTGCCAGGGTGACTGCTTTGTGAATTTTTAAAGGGCTTTCCTCTTTTTTGTTGTCGTTGTTCCATTGCTAAGAAGCGTATTTTTTCCTCCTAAACTAGAATAGCGTCAGACACATCTGGTCTGACCTTAAGCAGGCTGTTAATGGTTTTATTTTCCTTCCAACGTACTTGAAGGCATTTGAGAACCAGGGGTGTCTGTGTGGTGGGGAGAGGGGGTCAAAATATTCAGATTATGGCTCTTATGATCAAAGACCAGCGTTTTTGGGGAGGTGTGTGATGCTGAAATACAAAAAAAAAAAAAAAAGCTTGGTTTTGTTTGTGCGGCCACAGCTATGGATGTCACTTTGACTTTTGTTTCTCTCTCTCACACACACACAAACACAACACTCCCTCCAGATGCTCTTGTTTCAGACTCTGGAAATCCCAAGGATTTATGTTACGTCTTTTCCTTCTTAAGCATGTCTGAACTGCTTCTGATAATAACCATTCAAACCTTTTTCCTGTGGTCCCGCTTTAGCAGGTGTTTAAACTTCTGAAGGTACTCCAATGAATTGCATCTCATGTTTGGATTGTCATTGTGGTCTTTTAATTTATTTCTGCTTCTCACCAAAGCGCTGCTTCTCTTCGGCCTCTCTTCCCTCTGGCCCTAAGCCAGGCTTAATACTTTGACACACAAGTATATTGCACTCACATGTAAATGAACACTCAGCAAACTCTGCTCAGGAATTGGGGCGTCAGGTTTACATTTCTGCAATAAAACTTGCCTTGAGTTGCTTCTCTAAAAATACTGACAGAGGAAGGCAGACACTCAACTGGCGTTCCATTTTGGTACTGAAAACCCTTAGTGAAGGAAGGGTTTCAAGTCCAACTGAACTCCAAAGTTAAGAAAAAGAAAAATGAGGGCGGCGTATTGCATCTGTGAGCATTGTTTTTCAGGTACTTGATCTATTAAAATGAAGATGCATAGAGTCATTTTAGCACGTGGGACAAATTTGGGTGTGCCACTGTAAAAAGGGTATGGAGTCCTAAATCAGTGGTTCTCAACCTGTGGGTCGGGACCCCATTTGGGGTCGATCGATCATTTCATGGGGGTCGCCAAGCAAGGCTGTCCGCCATTTTTTTGTCCTCCATTTTTTTTGTCCGCCATTTTTTTCCCCTTTTCCGGCGGGTGCCTTACCTCCCTTGGGCTGGGCCAGCTGGTGGTCGGCCTGCTCCGTCTCTGCCGCTTGCCAGCTACGCCTCGGCCGGCGCAGGGGGCGGAACCACGCATGCGCGGCGCTCCCGGGCAGGGAAAGTCCTCGACTTACGACCGGTTGGGT